AACATCATTTGAATGGATCAATGAGCATCATTCACGTGTGTGTGTGTGTGTGTGTGTGTGTGTGTGTGTGTGTGTGTGTGTGCATGCGCGCGTATGTGTGTGAATGTGTGTGTGCATATATATGTATGTACATATATATATATATACACACATACATACATACATACATACATACAGACACTTACACACATATGCATATATATATGGGGGGTCACATGAACCCCTGGCTGATCTCAAACTCACTATGTAGCTAAGCATGAATTTGAACTCCTAGTCCTCCTGACTCTGACTCCCAGGTGCTGGGATTACATTTGTATGCCACCTTTGTATGCCACCAAGCCTTGCTAAACATCTATATATTCTCTACAATACAACAAATGGTTGATAAATTTTTGAAAAGAACTAAGGACAATTGCAGTGGCTCAGATTGTTTAGGGAAAGAGAATTGGAATTAGGAAGTCATTATCTTGTGCCCTGGTAATAATTTAAATATACCTCTCCTTCCTAAATGACAGTAAACAGTTTATATGTCTATTAAACGGTCTACCTAGAGACTAGCAAAGTGCTAAAATAGGCAGTTTATTTCAGTATCCTACATTTTACAATGCAAATCCAAAGTCTTAATGTTTTCCATGAAACACCCCACCTCCCTCAGTTTGGAATTCTTCCTCTTTGAATTCTACACCTAATCTGTGGTATTGTATGTCCAAATGGTCCATACCCTATGTATCTTTTATTTTAATTTATTTATGTATCTGTTTCATCACTTTTGGTAGGGCCTATAATACTGGCAGCCATTTATTGGATTAAACTAATAGGTTCAAATCTCTAAGGCTCTGTCTATCCTTTGTATGACAGTGAAGCACTGAGGCAGAGAGCCACTGAGAAGTTCCTGTCCATCCTAGCTTAGAAGTCTTGTCTCTAGAGTCTGGGGCAGATATATTTTCCTTTCTCTTTTAAAAGAGCAGAGTCAAAACAACATGAAAAGAGATCTGTGTTCTTGGCATGTTTCTCCCCTATGTCACCTTCTACCTAAAATCTGCCAGAGACCAGGCTCTTAGGGATATGCACATTATATCTTACACATTCTAGCTATAAACCCCAATGTTCAATTTTAAAACAGACTTTAAAAACCTTCTTCTCCTTTCATATATTAATAAAATATGGAATGGCGGTTGAAAAACCCTGCAACAGGGTCCCCAAACCTCAGAGATAAGACACGTAATGAACTACCTCAAAAGGGAAACCACTAAACCACAGTACAAACCCCACCAGTATTGATGGCTCTAAATTCACATTCATATTAATTACCAAAATTACACCTTCATACAGTAATTCACAACTGCTCTGTAGCATAGATCAATCACCCATGCAAAAGTCATGGCCAGTCACTAAATCTGCCAGTACTGCCCAAGGCCACCCACACTGCCCTGAAGGATGGATTGTGTAGAGATGCCGCCATGGGAGCAGCAGGAAAGGGTGGCATAGTTATGCAGAAAAGCATTCTTTTATGATTATAAGGCTGGGAATTTAGACACCTTCTTGGGATTTCAGAAATCGTTTAACACAATGGATCTTGGAGTTCTCCAGGGGAAAAAAATGACTCGGGTTTGAAAGAGATAGTTTTTAAGACCCATTTCAAATATGAAAGCCTTCCACCTGAGTGCTAAAACCCCTTACATAATATGATATAGAATTTCAATGCAATAGTTAACACATCCTCCTATTTACTCCAAATCATCTCTAGAGTATTTAGAGTATTTGGTCTGTATTCCATACCACTGTACTCACCTATAACCTCAGAGCCCAAACTAAGACTATGTGTTTCTCTACAGTCATCAAATCCAAATGCTGCTGTTTCCTTTGCTTTTTGATTCCTGCTCTGTGTCTGTTCTTGTGCTTTGTGTGTGTGTGTGTGTGTGTGTGTGTGTGTGTGTGTGTGTGTGTTTCTTGGGTTTTTGTTGTTGTTTCTTTGCTTGCTTGCTTGTTGTTTAAAGACAGAAAGAAAGTGCATAGAGCTGGATGGGAGGAGAATTGGGGAAGATTAGGGAAGAGAAAAGTGTGATTAGAATATATTATATTTTAAAAGCTTCAATAAAATGTAAACAGATAAATACACATTTTTTAAAAAGCCAGATGTGCAGTTGCCTTGAGGATTAACAGCTGAGGGTGGCTTCTGGCCTACCTCAGATGTACCTATGAATATGCACATCAAAATGTTCACACAGACACACACACACACACACACACACACACACACACACGTGCGCACACACGCACACCACTGTATTTTCCTTAGACTACATCCGTTCATAGTCCTTGTCCATTTTTCTATAAGTTTCTTTTTTTTCTTATTAGCTAATAAGTAAAGTTTCCATTTCAATAAAGCCACCACATAGCCAGGAGACAACTACAGATCACCACTGGCTCTTTAACTAAGGACATTTGTCAATTCATGAGTGCTTAAAAGGTTTGCCAGTGGGATTTTCCTCTTAGCAAGTACTAATTACCATAACTCAATATCCTATAAACAAATAAAACTAGCAAATTCATGAGGAAACATTGGTGTTCTTTTTCAAATTCTGATGAAAGGCAGGTTTCATCTTTGTAAGGAATGGTTAAGAAGGGTGTTTAAGATAATTTCACCCAAGAGTCACAAGTATTAGGATGAAAGAAAGAAAAACTTATAATGGTGGACAGTCAGTAGGTATGAAAATCTTGGAGCTGGACAGGTAAGGCTCAGCAGTTAAGAAAGCTTGGTATCACTGCAAAGACCAGAGTCCAAACTGGACAGTGTACAACCACATGTAACTCAAGCTCCAGATGATCTGATACCCACTTCTGACCCCTTCAGGTGTGCCTACACGCACCACACGGACACACACACACACACACACACACACACACACACACACACACACACACACACACCACAATAAATACTTCATTTTATGTGTGTATGATTGCAGGTTTAAGAGTTCAATTATACTAATGCACAATAATTTTCTTGGTATCATAAATATGAGTAGCCAAATAACTACACCTGTTTTCCTAATAAATATTTAAGCTATGTAAACAATCTCTTTTCATATATTTCACAGGATATGTATTCAAAACTTCATTAAATGGATACCCACAAAAGCCTCTGTCACAATGAACTGATCATGTAGTCAAAATTAGTGTGTAACTGATTGTCCTTTCTTAGTTCTAAAATAGATGTGATTACTAAGTAGAGATATGTGAAATCTAAACAAGCAGAATTTCCATTATTTAACAAAGCTCTCTTCTGAAGGGGTCCATTCCACAAGTTTCAGAAATTAGAATGAGATGAAGATGAATTTAGGAGCTTTCAAAATGTGCAAGTGCTCAGATACAAAAATTCTATAGTGAGAAAGAAATGATAAAATCCCCAATAAGCCATGAAAGTAGAAGCTTGTATATAGACTGTCAATTTGGTTACATGTGCTACCCTCAGCCTATCATGAAGTGCCCGAGACAGTTTTAAAGCTTAAGCTTTTTATCTGGTTCAGGTCACACAACAATAAGAACCCGCACAGAAATGAACAGAGCACTCACAGACCGAAGCCTTTTCCACCATCATCTGGGGCAGGTATGGAGACCACGGCTCCTGTCTGTCACTGAAAACCTTGTTTCTCTGGGCATGGCACATTATATGAACTGTCAGTGATGAAGTGTCCTCTTAACAGGATTGTTGAGGACACAGTGAATTAGAAACTTCAAACAGTGACAAGAAAGTTCAGTGCTGTCATCAGCCCACGTAACTACGCAACTATAATCTGAAGAGTCAAGAACTGACATGGAGATATACTAAGTACTTCTCCATAGAGAAGAGGATGGAAGAAAAATGAGGACCAAAGTCCAACAAGGACAACAATGCCACAGCTAAGCCAGGCACAGCACAAGTCAATGACCTGCATGCATAGTTTCTGACAGTGAGCTAGCAAAGGTGACATCAGAAGTAATCCCATAATCCCTACAGATCTGAAAAGATTAAGATAAAACCTCTTTTTATTTAAGGTAGTCTGTTGAAATCTGTCCCGTTAAGTTTATTTTTCTAATCTTTCTCCAATTTTCTCTCCGGCCATTCCCTTTACAAACCCTCTCATAGTGTTGTCTTTCATTTTGCTTAGTGTTTAGTTTATCATTTTCTAAGTCACGGTTTCTTGTAGCCCAGGCTGGCTGTAAACTCACTATGTAGCTGAGGATGAGCTTGGATTCCTGGTTTTCCTGCTCTGCTGTTTGTAATGTGGGTTTGTAAAGAGCACTTTGGCTCTTTTTGTTTGCTTGCTTGTTTATTTGTTTTTCTCTGTGTAGCTTTGGAGCCTGTCCTGGTACTTGCTCTGTAGACCAGACTGGCCTTGAACTCACAGAGATCTTCCTGCCTCTGCCTCCAGAGTGCTAGGATTAAAGGCATGCACCACTAATGCCCAGCTAGTACTGTGGTTCTTGTATCTCAATTTTAAAAGTATATTAATACAACCTGGCCCTATGTGAACTGTTGTAATGGATTACACATGAACTGAATTACAGGATCATATTATACCATTAAGTGCATTATCATAATGTGATATTACATTAAATTTTTGGATCCTAAGAGTATCTGAGCAATGGAGAAAGTACAATAAGTGTAGAGAAATACACATTAACGTTTTGTTGTACATATAAAATGACTTCTCACTTTTACGTCTTTAACTTCAATCACTGGGTACCATTGTTGCATGGATCACTCCCTACACAGCATCAGAGAGAGCAGCTATACAGCAACTGGTGGTGGACATGCCTTCCCATTGAGGCCGACCTCCCAAGGGGCAGAGCTATTGGTTTCACCCATGTCAATCAAGTCCATGAAAAACTCTTTACTTCCATCAAGGTCAATTCACACTGCAAATTCTCCACATAAACACAATGACATCATTTCAGAGACAATAAGACACCAGCCTGGATCATTGCAACCCGACAAATTTCCACAGGATACAAACCTTTGGGAGGTGTGAGGTTGACTCCATTTTTAAGGCACCACTGTACTGGCAAAATTCCCAAAGAATCCGCATGGCACAGCATCGAGAGTTTGTTAGATTCAGGTCTTAGGTCATCAATAGTCACTTGGAAAAAATGATTGTTAAAAACCTAAAAGAAAAAGAAGACATCAAAGTTAATTTCTCATATTATACATCTAAATCCTGACACTGTTTCAAAGACACTGAGCATGTCCTATCTAATTGATGTTAACACAACCAGAATTTCAGTACAAACTACTATATTATTCCAGTGGCTAAAGGCAAAATCGGACATGTGGTCATATACAAGGAGAGAGAAGGAACTAAAATATACAGGAGAGAGAAAATAAAAAATAAAGACAGAAGTATAAAACTCGGGCCTCCCTCGCATGGAAGAAAAGCAAACAATCAGACAAATTCCTGCCCATAGAAAAACAAACGGCTAAAATGGCACCTCAACAACGTACCAAACTCCTCACACACCAGATCCTTCAATAGTGCTGAGTTCAGCTCTGGGAGACTTCTAAGCTCATGAATTACAGACTTCAAAATACAACATACTATAGCCAGAAAGGAAATCATGTATGCAGAACCTGTCTTTACTCTTTGTTCCCATGACCACCTGCCACCTGTTACCACCAAAATATCAAATGTTCTTTTAGGACAGTGACCTCTTTTATTCATCAAATAATTCACAACAGCATAGAAAGTGTTTTGTACATGAATATACAATGAATGTGAGAAAGAATGTCAATGATAAAAGTGAACAAACAGGTCTGGTGGTGTAAGTCTGTCAGCCCAGCTAATGAGGTCAAGTCAGTGGGGTCCCAAGTTCATAAGTTTGCTAACTGTCTGCGCTACAGAGTGAGTTCAAGACCAGTCTGGGCAAATTAGTAAGACTCTGCCTCAAAGCAAAAAAAGTAAAAGAATAAAAAATAAATAAATCTAAAAAGGACTCAGGATATAGCTTAGTGGTAGAGCATTTGCCTAGCATGTGTCGGGTTCTAGATTGACTTTCCAATACCACAAAGAAAAATAAATAAATCTCTAAGCAGACAACAAAATTAGATGACTCATCCCCCACAAGCTCACATATGTACACAGGTACACACATGCTTACACAGACACACACACACACACACACAGACACACACACACACACACACGCGAGAGAGAGAGAGAGAGAGAGAGAGAGAGAGAGAGAGAGAGAGATGCAATATCTTTCCACTTTTACTAAGCTGTGGTTCCTAGCTCCCTCGATTACAAAGTATATTCTAGACAAAGCCATTTTAACATTAAGCAAGAGTAGAAACTCCAATCTGCATCTCCTCATTTTATTCCAGTAACTAGTTCTAATTTTACTCACTGAGGTTGCCTTTGAAAGTCTACTTTAAGAAGCTAAGAATCAAGATGGGCATGGTGGCACAGCCTGGTATCCCAACACCTGAAGATGGAGGCATGAGAATCAAGAGTATAAGAACAGCCTGGGTTACAAAGGAAAAGCATGGCCAGCTTGCCCAGGATAATAACTCCTTATTATATTTTAAAAAACATTCTCTGGACTGGAGAGATGGCTCAGTGGTTAAGAACACAGGTTGTTCTTGCAGAGAACCAGAGTTCAATTCCCAGCAACCAGAAAGTGGCTCCCACCTGTCTGTAACCCCATTTCCAAGGGATCCAATGCCCTCTCTGGCTTCTGCAAGCACAAGCCATGCACATGGCGCACAGATATACACGCAGGCAAAACAACTATACACATAAGACAAAAATTTTAAAAATTAAATCGTGTTTCCCCACTGGCCCTTCATTAACCCCTTCTTGAGGTTTGTCTCCTTAGTATTTAGCTTACAATATACTGTATTTATTTCTTGTTAAAATTTTTTGTCATCTGGTAACAACAGGGACTTGCTCTATGCCTCACTGTTCAGAGCAATGTCTTTGACCACTCAGTCACTAACTGCAGGATCAGTGTGATCAGTCCTACAACTCCTCACACGCATTAGGATATCCCAGTGGCAGGGTATCTAATCACTGCCAGACCCTGTCTACAGAGTGTCAGGATCCCTCAAACTGCACACCAATGTGAGAACACTTGAGAGAAAAGTTCAGTGACTTCTATCACATCTATCAGGTCTCATGTTCCCAGGGATGAAAAATCATTCCTTTGTGCTCCCTCTGATACAGAGCTCACACATCTGCGAAATGAAGCACCTAAGACTGCACTGCTCAGAATGGGCAGAAACAGAAATAGAAGAAACACAAGTGATAGAAATAGAAACCCTGACTTTGGGAACCCGGGTCCTGTCTTCTAATCGATGCAATACATTTCACATGCACCGGTGTTAACACCTCATCTTCCAACGTTTGAAATACTAAGAGCCAGTCCTGCTACACTGTTAACACTTGGTCACTTAACACTCAAGCAGATCTGCATTTATCTCTGTTTGCTTTAACATCAGCTATTCTATCTTCAACAGGGATGCCAAGAAGAAAAACCTCAAAAGGATTCGTGCATGAAACTTCCATTGCAAAAAATAATGACAACACAGTGTATCATATTCTCAAGCAAAATATTCTAAGGCTTTTTGTCAGGGTTTAGAGAAATATGGTTAGTGTATTTTTTGAGAATTTCAGATATCTATACAATGAAATATGATCATATCTACTCCTGGTATCCCCTCTGGTAAAAATATATTTAATTATAAATACTTATTACATGAAAAATATTTCTGTAAAGCATACATGAAGATGTGCCTTGAACCTATCTACATGGTTCTAATAGACAAAGACCACACATTCCAGCTCATGCATTAAAACAACAAATGGGTAGGCAATAAGAGAAGAATGGGACATGCATGAGGCAGAATGACGTAAGAATTTCCTCTCTGACACAATGCTAAGAAAAGTAGCGTGAACATATTATTCAAAATAACTACAAATACTTCCTTCTCCGGTGAGATGATTTAAGGAGAATTGATTGTGAAAACTCAATCTTTGCTGCTGAAAGTTGATTCAAATTGATGATATTTCAGGCTACCTGTAAGAAATGTGTCACTAATACAATAACTTAAAGGAATAAAAACATGAGAAATGTGACCACTGTGGACTGAGCACACCAGTTCTGCAAGCTTACTTCCTAGAGAATCATGGGAAGCTGGTATTGTAATGTTTTAGACAAGTCCATATACCCAGAAAAGTGGGCAGCTGCCATAGCTACACCACCCAACTCTGGCACAAAGGGAAATTCTGGACAAGTTTTAAGACAGGGGGACAACTCTTCAGTCTGGGGAAAATTGGTGACAACTACCAGAAACATAGTAAAGACCTCAAACACTGTTTGCAATCAAGGTTTTTAATAGGTGGTAGAACAGGAGGGATGCCTGAGTTTTAATTCCAATATTATCTAGCAAAGCATGTCGACTTTTCCCCTTAATAAAATTTTAATTTACAAAAATAATATGCTCACTAAGTAAGACACACTGAGGAAAAGAAGAAAGCTGTATGTCATGATTACCATCACTTTACATGTTTAATACAGTGTCACCACTAATTTTCAGATACTCTACCAAATTATGCAAAAGATGGGGAAGAAGGAAGGAATGAAGGAAAGAATGAAGGAAAAAAGGAAGGAAAGAAAGGAGGAAGGAAGGAAAGGTTCAAATATAATGATGTCTGAGTTACTAGAAGAATAGATCCACTTTCCTTGGAAATTAAAATGCAATTGACCTTGAATCTTTAATAAAATTCTTCCTCTGAATATAAAAGGTCTTTAACTGAAAGATACATTTGGCTAAAAATGCTAAGCTTGTCAGCATCTCCTGCCACTTAGCAAAAGCTAATATTTAAGGTGGGAAGCACACAATTTGAATTTGACCATTGTTAGAACCACTGGGATTTCTCTTATGAAGAAGAGATAATCTTAATAATCATATAATCTTAAGAGACTACCAGATCAGCATAAAAACAACTTTGCACAGAAAAGGAATTTCATTTTGACTGCCAATCTCAGAAGCACATGGTCTCCTTTAGCCAATGAAAACAGATGATAATAAAAAGAGCAGACATGCTGGTTTATGTGGAAATAAGAAACCACTTTCACTACTTCCAGCTATTTTCTCTAAACAAACAAGCAGTCATGAAGGCGGAGAAAGTTAGGCTTTCTTGTATGTGTGGCACATGCCTAGACCCTCACTTGTGTGCAGGTGTGTGCCTCCCGTGTGCATGCGATAGGCAGAGGAGGATGACACGTGTCCTTCTTCCTGGAAACAAGATTTCTCACTGAATCTGGAGCTGTGTTTGGGCTATTTCGGTGGTGGTGGTAGCTAGATAGATTTGGCTAGGCAGCTGGCTAGCAAGCCCCAGTCCCAGGAGTCCTCTTGTTTCTGCCCTCTAAGTGCTTGGATTGCAGGCATGCAACATGCAACTTTCAACACAAAACCTGGAGGTTTGAGCTCAGGTTCTTGGGCTTGCACCGAAATCCCTCTTATCCATCGAGCCCTGTATGTTACCTTGTAGTGCTTGTACAAAGCAATTCCACAGTGGACAACTATTAAGGGAGGAGCTGTCAGTCTGGATGCAGAACTTGGAAGGAGGTGCATTCATCTCCCTTTGTTTTATTTATTGGCTGTTGTTGTGAGTGCTCCTTGCAGGAGCCTACTGCATCTGCCCATCTCTGAAGGTCTATGTGATTCACTGTGAGGGGTTGCAAGGGGTAGCAAAGCAGGAAACCCACCTTGGTCACTGATGCAGGACAGATATGAAAGGGCTCACTCATATTCACTGTCTCCAGCTTCATCCCAACTGTGAAGAAATGGCTTCGCAGGTCTGCATGGTCCTGCAGGGACAAAGGTGACCATATTAAAGGACATGGTAACGTGAATTAACTTGGCAACTGTCTGGATTCCCTTCTTGAGAATTTTCTTGAGTGACTGAAATCTGATGGAAATAATTAATCCTCCCCATTTCACATTTCTAATTATTGCAAGACACTGCGGATTTAATTATTTTCTGCAGGCTAAATTACTTTTCCAAGGGAGCAGCAACACGCCTTCATAGCCATGCTTAGATTTACAGGAAGCAAAACAACTCACATGGCACTACATTGCTTTGATCTGGTGCTCTCCGCTGAAACCCCACACAATGGCGGTGGCCGTCAGTCATCTGAAACCCAGTGGGATCATGTTCACAAAAAGAGCATGGCCTTTTGCCACCAAATTACATAACACCAGTGAGACTCTCCTATTCTCCTTCCAAACAGGCTGGTGGCAGGGTTGCTCACTGGTTGAGTCCGTGACTTTGAGACTTTGCAGCTGTTCTAGGGACAGTCTGAACCTGATTCCTACTCCATAAAGATGACCATTGCACTCCCTTTTTAATAGGTGTCTGCCAGTACTGACCCCTCCCTGAATCCTGATTGTGAACCCTGGGCTTCCCTGCCTCTTCCAGAAAACAAATTTCAGTATCTTCTTCAGCCATACAGCTAAAGAGAAGGTTGACTGGATTTAAGATATCAGAATTTATCTTGCTGAACTGGAGACCACCTCATACCTCATATGCAGTGTATGTAGTCGTGGATAAATAAATATATTTGCAGTCTGTCCCTGAGGAAATAATACATTCAATTAAATAAGCTTGCAATTTCCAAATATATCAATTGGGTATGAAGTACAAAGTAATACTGGTATCTACCGCTTTCTTGGATCTGGAAATCTCAAGTGGATTGTGAATTAATTCCATGATGTTATTCTGTAGTCAGCTCTAAGAATTAGACATGGTGGAGTATGCCTGTGCTCCAGCTTTCCCCCCAGAGCCAAGCAATTCTCTCTGTCCAACTGGAGAGGAAAAAAAAAAAAAAAAAAAAAAAAAAAAAAAAAAAAGACACTCCTTATAAAATTCTCCATCACAGGAGCTGGGGAGATGCCTCAGTTGGCAAACTGCTACATTCAAAGCATGAGGTCTTGAGTTCAGATCTCCAGCACCCATGGAAAAGCCAACTGTAGTACAAATGTCTATCTATAAACCTAGAAATGAGTGGGTGGACACAGATGGATCCAGGGCTGGCTGGCAAGGCAGTTTAGCTGAAATATCTACCTCCAAGTTCAGTGAGAGCCCCTGCCTATAAAATAAGATAGAATGTTACAAAGTAGGATATCCTATGTAGACCTCTATCCTCCACATGTTCAAGCAAGGGTGAGTGCATCCTAAATGCCCTACCCCTGAGATATGGTGGCTTATACCTATAATTCCATCACTTAGGAGGCTGAATCAGGAAGAGTGTACATTTAAGGCAAGTCTGAACTACACATTGAGTTATAGCTCCAGCCTGTGCTACAGTGAGATGCTACCTTATAAAAACAAGGAAAATTAATAAAAATAAATAAATAAAACTAATGCTTCAGCAGTTTGTCAAGAGGGTAGAAGATAAGCATCCATAGAATCACAAGAACATTTGCTGTGTGTGGGGGGGGGTGTGTGTGTGTATGTACATGTGCATACACACACAGGCACATACAGAATTTGTGAAAATGTCTTTTGGAGGAGAGATGGGACATCAGAAGACCTGGAGCTGAAGTTATACAGATACCAAACTCTGGTCCTTTGCAAGAACATCAGGCACTCTTAATTGCTGAGCCATCTCTCCAGCCCCAGGTCCTTTCAATTCCATGTCTTCACAGTAATCTATGAAGCTCTTTGCGTGCAAAGACAACACATTCAGGGTCTGGGTGAGGGGACTGGTGCAGTTGGGGGGGGGTGATCAGAGGAGATGCAGTCACATGTCAGGGGACATTCAAAGGACCTCATTCATTCAAAACCCACATAAATTCCTTCAGAACTAAACAACACTTTATAAAAATGTAATGCCTAAGGAAACTCTTAAATGCAGATGGTGACTTTGTTGTTTACATAACAAACTTTATAAATTCCTTAAGAAGTTACAATCAACACTTTATAAAATTATAAGCCGTAGGAAAAGAGCAAGGAGAAATTCTTCAATACAGGTGGTGCTGAGAACAAAACACTTGCTTTCAAAGGCACTTTAGAAAAGGAATTCAAAGCAACAGTCCAGGGATTTAATGTGAATTAGCACAGACTAACTAAAGCAGGGCTGCAAACACAAGAGTTACTAATTGACACCTGAATTAAAAGATTAAAATCAATACTCTCCTGCAGACACCAACACCCCCAGTACTTATGGGTGAGATCTAAGTCACACTTGTGGATTTTGCAGGTGTTTTCCTCTTTTAAAGAGAACTCTTTATCCCTTTATTCTGAAGTTACAATTAAACTTCCCTGCATGTCCTCAACAAGTTAAAGCAGTTATTATTATGCTATGTTGCCAATACAGACATGGCCTGGGTAACTACAAATGGCCCAGGAGGAGGCACTGATTTCTCAGGACCCCTCCAGCAGCATTTCTGCTGTAGTATGTCCCTCTACTCACTGTGCAAAGCTGGCTGGCTAAACCTGCATGCCATGTTGCTCACTAATCAGAGCAAATGGTCACCTCTTAGCTGCCTATAATCCCCAGGGCTGTCTGTGGAATTTTCCATCTCTCAATTTCCTTGTAAAAAAGGCATATCAGCAATATAGACTTCTAGTCTACCCCAGGCTTAAACTCTCAGCTCCAGCATCTGTACCAACTCTGCTTTGTAAACTTTAACACCAATCTCTGCTCTGCCAGTAGAGCCAGCTTTCCAAGCACAGGCTGATCCACAACCCTAAAGCCTTTCTGTCCCAGAATCTTAATTTGATGTTGATCACTGACTACAAGATGTCTTTAGCTAAGTTCAAGTCCATCCTGCTACAACCAATGTTCCTGATACTACATAAAAATCTCTGTGGCTCAGGGGACTCTGCATAGAGATTAGTCACTTATCTCATTGCTTATCATGTACAATTGTCTGGTGAGAAACAATCAATGGCTGTCTGCCCTTAGAAACAAAACATGCAGAGAGGTGCTTCTTCTGAATGGATCTCAACTTTTCCTTGCAGCCCTTAAGTCCACTTTCTTAAGATCATTTGTGTGGGGGCTGGAGAGATGGCTCAGAGGTTAAGAGCACTGGCTGCTTTTCCAGAGGTCCTGAGTTCAATTCCCAGCAACCACATGGTGGCTCACAACCATCTGTTATGAGATCTGGTGCCCTCTTCTGGTGTGCAGATATACATGGAAGCAGAATGTTGTATACATAATAAATAAAATCTTTAAAAAAAATGATCATTTGTGTGTGTAGTTAGGAAGGAGTATGTGTTCTCTCTCTCTCTCTCTCTCTCTCTCTTCTCTCTCTCTCTCTCTCTGTCTCTCTGTGTGTGTGTGTGTGTGTGTGTGTGTGTGTGTGTGTGTGTGTGTACACTCCAGAAGTCAACACTGGCTATCTTTCCTCAATCACTCTCCAACTTTATTTTTTTCCAGAGTCTCTCACTGAACCTGGGGCTAATCAATTCATCAAGTGGCTGACTAGTCAATGAGCTCCAGGGATCCATCTGTCCTGTGCCCCCACATTTACCCCTTCCTACCCCCAGCACTGGCGTTAGAGGCATACTCCACCACACCAGGTTCTTTACGTAGATGCTGAGGATCCCAAGAATGGAAACTGGGATCCTCAGCACCTATGGAGAGAACCAGGCACGCTTGTCCGGCAAGCACTTTACAGACTGACCATTTCTTCAGCCCTAAGACCACCTTTGAATTAACCTCTAAAGCAAATAAAGAAACAAACAAAATTCTCCATCTATAAACATGCAGAAACCCTGCCAATTTGAAATAGCTAGGCCAACATAATGATGATTTAAAAGACCCAAGACAAAATGCATGTAAGAATAAGAGTTTAATCAAATCTACCATCTCTAGTATTTGCCACTTCCTACACTATAAACTTTATTTTAAAAATAGGGGTATGTTTTTAAGTAAATTTCAGCTTGCACTGAAAATTCTAGCCATTAGAGAAGCTGAAAACAACAAAAGAGGTTGTATTATATATGCAATACTTTTTGGTGAATGCCAGACTCTCTTGTTTATGATATGTGGTTCATTCCAGAAAGACCTAAGTGAATATCTATCAAATTAGATAAAGAAGCAAAAATAAGCTAGATTATTTCCTGACATCCATCCCAGTTTTAAGCTCTATCATTCATTCGTTAGGGGAACACAGAGTAGACCACTAGATGTCACATAGAACATATATATGTGCATGAAGACAGACATGCAAATACTACGCAGCAAAGAAAAAGAGGACTATGATAGAAAAAGTCCAACTAACAAAGAAATAGGTTTAGAAGAGTTTGCACTCATATTCTTCTACTTGTAACTTATAAAACTAAATATCCCATGATCGATATGTTCAAATACCTGTAAGGGTGAATATGAAAGAAGGGTTGGGGACATGGCTCAGTGAGTAAAGTGCCTATTGTGTCATCATGAGGACCTGAGTTTGAATCCTCAGAACCTATAGAAAGTCTGGGTGCCACACAGTACATATGTAACTTTAGAGCTAGTGGGGTGGAGACAGGTGGAACTCTCGGAGCTCACTGGCCAGTCAGTCTAGTGAGCACTGAGTTCAATGAGAGACCATGTCTCAAAAACTAAGATGAAGAGCAATAGAGGAGAGCACTAGAAGTCAACTTCTGGTCTCCACATGCATGAGCACACACATACACACACACACACACACACACACACACACACACACACAAACACAGAGCGGGGAGATTAATTAAGTATATTTTAAAAATTAACAATTAGTAAGAAAAACTTCCTGTGTCCTGTAGGCTCTCTAAAACTTTTAAAAGCTATTTATTGCCAAGTTGAAAAGTGACATATATTCACTGCTTATGCAC